TCAAGGTCTCTAAAGAACGGCTTAGTATGATTCACCTTTTGTTTGCAGATGATGCATTAGTCTTCTGTAAGGCAAATGTGAAGCATGCTCAGTTGTTGTTGGAGATTCTTGGTAAGTATCAAAGATTTTCTGGCCAGAAGGTGAATCTGAGCAAGACCTCCATGTTCATAAGCTCTAACTGCAGTGTCTCTCTTAAATCAAATCTTCTCAGTGCTTAGAGAAGTGGTGATCAAGAGATCTTCCATGTACCTTAGGTTACCACTGGGAATTGAAGCTTCTAAAAGAGATTCTTTTCAACATGTAGTTACTACAGTTAAAGAGATGATTGATAGTTGGAAAAACTTTTTATCAACTGCTGGTAGAGAAGTATTATCTAAAGTGTTAGATGCACTTCCAGTTTTTATTATGTCTTGTTTTGTGCTTCCTGTGGGCTTGTGTAAGGATATCTGCAGACTTGTGGCTAAGTTTTGGTGGGCAAAGGGTGATGTGCAAAATCCAGGGATGCAATGGATGTCTTGGGATAAGCTAACTATCCCATAGCTTGAAGGAGGTCTGGGCTTTCAAGATATAAGACTTCGTTTCGGTCAGGAAGCTTCAGTTTGTTCCAATATCCCCGAAAAAAGATGTGAAAAGAAAAGGCTTCGCCTTGTCCTGTCTCGTCTTTTAGCGCGCAATTAATACGGTATGGAGCCATGGCTGTTCAATTCAGTTCTCATTCTCAAGCAGTTGTGGAGAATCATTGCACAACCAGACCTGTTGGTCAGCAAAATTTTGAAGAGTAAGTACTTCCCTAAGCATTCTCTGTTTGAAGTTGAGAAAACAAACGGTGCCTCTTGGCTCTGAAACTCTTGGTTGTGTTTTATCCTTATTCTAAAAAAGCATTTGAGCATCATTATTATAAATGGAGGCAACACTAAGCTTAATGACTTCGACTAGGTTCTTGGAATTCAAGGAGACAAACCAACTCTTAGAGTGAAAATTGAGGGGCATTTATTCTGGGTGAAGGACTTGTTGGTTGCAGGTGGATTTGGTTGGGATGAGACAATAGTGAAATCTCTCTTTGAGGAAGCTATGCTATGAAGATCTTACAGACAAAATCTCTAAATCCCAGAGCTAGTGATCAATGGAAATGCTTATTCCTGTCTAAAGGCTCATTTTATGTTAAAACTACTTATACTTTGCTAATAAAAGAGAAGATTTGTGGGAAGAACCAGACTGAGTCAAGTGAGATGGCAGGGGAAAATAGAAGAGCTAGGCTGAGATGTAGGCAGCTCTAAGTCATGGGAAAAATTAAACATTTTATATGGAGATGTTTCTCTAATATTTTACCTGTGAACTGTAACTTACTTGGCAGGTGTCTGAAGATTGATAGCTTATGCTGTGTTTTTGCGGAGAGATAGAAGAGACTCATGAGCATGCTTTATTCCTTGGCAAAAGAGCTCAAGTCACATGGAAATTATCTCATGTCCAGTGGAACAACATGGAAGAGCAATTGAACTTCAAGGAATGGTGGTGGTGGATTTGTTCCATGAAGAAGCAGGGTATTCATGAAGAACACGTTCAACTCTCTACTTACATTCTTTGGTGGCTGTGGCGTGCAAGGAATATGTGGGTGTTTGAGAAGCAATGGCAACCTGAGGTTTGGATAGTGAGGTAAGCTATGCAGGACTGTCTCGACTTTTCTCTTAACAGATCGAAGTAGTAGCATGTGTAGAAGAGTGCCCACTAGGTCTCGAGTCAATTGTGTGCCTCTCTTTCTATATTTGTTATGTGTTGAGTATGTTAGAATTGGTTGTTTTGGATCAGTTAGTCTGAGCAGTTGTGTTCGTTAGTTGATGTCTAGTGTGGCCATTAGGCAATACAATGTGTACTTGTCCTCCCAGGGATTGTGGTTTCGAGTTTTTCCCGTGTACATTCCATTTATCTTGGCAATATATGAGTGATTATGTCGTTGGAAAAAAAAATACACATAAAAAATACTCACTCGATATACTGCACAATAATGGTATACTAGATGCACACATGTATTTGTATGCTTGCACTTTATCGTTCTTGGTATTTCGTAAAATTATCTGATTTCAACCAAAAATAATATAAAAATAATAAATAAAATTATTAACATACTAAATAATAAATATAAGTTTAATATAAACATAAATAAAATTACTACAAGTACATAATAAATGTACATAGAGGTATACATAACACTCACATGGAGTGGGGTCCACTTAATTTTTATTTTTGGTAAGACTCATTTAATGTGAGTGTTATATACAAGTCTATGTATACTATTATGTACCCATAACATTTCTCAAACAAAAATCTATTTCAATAATTCAGGATAATTACTCAGATTGAATAAATCAAATAATTATGTTAAACTTCATCCAACTTGTGATAAAAATCCGGTTGGTTCAATCTGCACAATACTGATCGGCACCGCGCACCACAACCATTAAAATAAGAAATTAACAACATGATTGTGTATTTAAATTGAGTGCTTAATTCTGCGGGTGCCACTGTGCACTTTGACCTCAGAACTGTCATATTGACCCCACATATTCCAATTGTTTTAATATGAAAAAATAAAGTTAAAAAAAAAAGGAACAATTTGTGAACACTTGATCATATGAATTGCTTTTTTCTTAGACGACAACAATTTGTGAACACTTGATCATATGGACTAATCCAAAACAAACCACAGAAACATGGAGCTCCTTAACGTGTAAAAACTTGTGGGGAGCACTTTTTAGGACCCAAATAAGAAAAAAACTAGTTAACTAATATGAATTCATTATTCAAGGCATCATGTTCGCCGAGAATGCATCGAGAAGGTTAATCCAGTTCGCCTCGTCCTCGTCATCTTCATCAACTCCACTCTGCTCCCACTGATTGTGAGCCGTCTTCTCTGTCTCGTCGTTCCTTGCAAACCTTCCTCTGATTCTTGGCCGGCTGTCGGCCAGAGTCTTTCGGCACTCATACTGTTCCAAAAAGTACATTTGAGCCAATTGAATCAGTCATCTATGCAATATATAAAATGTAGCTTTGGTTAAAGTCTTAAAGGTCAAGAATTTCAAAGCTTCAAAATGAAACCTTGATCTTCTTATTGAAATTCCTGAGATTCCTCTTGCTCCTGTATCTCTCGATTCTCTCCTTTTTCTCCTCCGGGCTGTATGGGCTGGCTCTGCTCATGCTCTCGATTATGCTGCTCTCGGTTGCTAAAGGGCCGTTGGACCGCTGTCCCATGTTCATCCCCTGTTTCATGAAGAGACGGAACAAAATGAACATATCTATTTGCATGGTGGGACTTGTGCCTAAATTTCAATTTTAGTACATTATATTGGTCATTTTTCAAGAAAAGGTGGCGTCATACAAAATTGACCACTAAGTTGTCATTTTAATTAAAACTCGTACGATAGCCTGCTAAAAATGACATTAGTACACTATATTGGTTATTATTGTACGAATGTTTATTAAAATGACAATTCAGTAGACCATTCTTGATGACGCTCTATATTTCAAAAATGACCAACGTATAGTCGACCATTTTTGAAATTTTACATGATTATTATTGTACTCTTAGAAGCAAAGAAGTAATAATATAAGATGAACTACTACTAATTTAACCTGCAATAAATCTCCGGTGCCGTGTGGCTTACTGAAAGAGGTGGACTCGTTGATGGTAGGGTGGATGATGGTGGGGCTGTAGCAGCTGGCCATGGAAGTGGGCGACCCGCCGTAGCTGCTGCAGCCGGAGCTCGTGTACAACGAGTCCGGGATCGCCAGTGGAGGAAGGATCTGCAGTGGGAATTGGGCTTGGATTAATTCCGGGGAATAGTTGTAGGGGAACAAGCTGTCATTGTTGTTGTTTTGTCCATACATTTTTTTTTTTGGGGGGGTGTTTAGAGAGGGAGAGAGTGAGTGGGGGGAAGGGAGCAAATGGAATGGGCACATGGAGAAGTCTACTTAAAGAGAAGAGCGTGCGTGGTAAAGATGGATGATGACGTCATCTAGGGGTTGACTATGGAGTGTTTGATATTTGGGAGGGGCTAAGTTAAGATGATGAATTGCAATGGCCCGCCTAACTCGCTTGATGTGCTCTTAATGGAGTTTCTTCTACCAAGATAAGGAAAATGACAATCTCTTCTCATGCATGCCTTTGTCTTTGGTTACTTTTTAGTGATTGTGCTTGATTATTTCCTATAAAAAAATGTTTAAGTGATTTCCTCTTGCTTAGAAAAATAAAAATGAGATGGATGGCTTGGGTCTCTTCTAGCTTAACCAGTGGTCTCGAGTTCGAGCCCTGTGAATGCAGTAGTGTTAAAACTCTTGAGGGAGAGCTTTGTCGCCCTTGTGGTCCTACCCGGCTCGATTCCGGATTAGTCGGTTCCCCTGTGGATCCGGAAACCGGAAGGTCCCAGTACCAANAAAAAAAAAAAAAAAAAAAAAAAAAAAAAAAATAAGAAAAGGTCTATTAACTTGTTTAAGTCATAAGCTAGTATGAGTCGTAGTGAACGAGTAAGAGATATTCATTAATATTTTCAAATTAAATATTCTTATTAAATAACATTTATAAATTAAAAATATGGAATAAATATGTATTACAATTTACTTATACTAATTTATTGAAAATGTTATGTAAAGTTTAAACTGTGAAAAATTATATAAAATTAAATGTCTATTTAAAATTAATATACAACTTGTGCGGTGCATATAACTGATAACAAATTGCATTATGTTCGTTTCAAAATAAGCGCCATTTCAAATTTTTTATTCAAAAATTTGATTTGACTATAATGTGATTCCATAAAATAGTAATTTAGGTAAAATTTTATCATATATTCAAAAACCTATGTGAATAATAAGTATAAATATAACATTTATATTGTTTTATTACTTAAAAAATTTATTTTTGTATAAAATTTTCAAATAAAAAAAAATTAAATAGTTGAGTAACTTATTAAACTATAAATAATTAACTATTTCGTTTGCGTCCAAGTTAATATTTCACGTAAATTATTGAGTAATTTATTAAACTATAAAAAATTGACTATTTCGTTTATGTCCAAGTTAATATTGGCCCGTAAGTTATGAATACTTATTTTTTTTATTATTAATTTTAAATATAAATCTTTTTATTTTTATTTTTTAATATATTATATACCAGATTTAAATCATGCAACTAATAAAGGTAATAGCCACAATATTTAACCAAAATGATTTTGTACATTAATTTTGTCGGAATTTTTCAAATTTGGCCAAAAAAATTACTCAATTTAGTAAATCTGAGTTTTTAGGCGGGAAACCAAATACTTTTTTTTACTGATAATTAGTTATTATTTCAAGTAAATATCATTACCTTTTTGTATATTAATAGATTATTAATAAATAAGTATAGTCTTTATTCTAAGATTATTTTTTTCCCTTTACTGAAAATTATATTTTCTAGTGTTGCCTTTCATCTCCAACCAGTACGTAGCTCGTGCTATGCGTGGGACAATAATTATAAATTGCATGATTAAAACTATGAAGAAAAACTTTGATTAGTATAAATTTATTTATAATTATTTTTTCTTTTATTGTAGGATATATAATAATTTAATATATGATACATATGTTTATTTCACTCTTTATAAAACAATTATCATTATATATCCTATTTATGATTAGGGACCATGAAAATTTGACATATTATAATATTATCAATAAACAATGCTAACAGAATACCTTGCTACAATATATTATTTCGATTTCTAAATAAGTTAGGCTAAAGTTAAAAAATTGTGACAAATATTATAACCAAGATTTAAATGAAAAAGATTGATATATATTATTTTGAAGTTAAAAACAATTATTAATTTTTAGTTACATCAATATTATTTTATTTTTTAATTTTTTATAGTCTATTAATTTATATGATATTTATTATGATATGGTGAATCACAATATGATTTTTTTATTTTTTATTTTGTAAAGAATTGGTTTGGCGCATTCTTTGATAAAATCAAAAAATATTTTTTAACTCCTTGAATACATGATTTTTTTTATATGACTGGTTACAGAATGAACTGAAAATTGAAGGGATTTTTAGTAACATTGAGATATCATTTCTATTATAGTATTGTGTTAGTTATATCAATCAGATTTTTTTCAAATGATTCCTAAATTTATTTTGTACTTATATTTTGCAATGTTTTCATGCATATTTCAGTCTGCATATGGTTGGATACTAAACAAAACAGGATAACACACGATTTGTTATTAATGATACATATTTGTTCATTATTAAAGATAGATATTTTAATTTCTTTTGATATTTTTAAAAATATGGGTTTATAATTTATGAAAAATTGAAACGGTTGGGTTATTGATAAATCAAAGGATTCTAAACTAATTCTCTTGGTTTAAATGATGTTTTGAAAATACGATAAAAGATATTTTGGTATATGGTTGGTTAACAAATTATAAGAAATCACTGTGAATTGTTATTGATGCTGATAAATAAGATTCTATTGTAACATTGTGATAAATATCATAATAAAAATTTCATAATCGGTCTTAATTTTTTATTTTGCAATTATTTATAATTTTATCGTGCATATTCAAATATTTAAAAGATCAAATATATTTGATAGATGTTTTTCTGAAGACATGTTGTATGATTGGTTACCGAAAGAATAAAGATTACAGTGGTTCATAATTAATATGAATAATAAAATTTTTTATTGCGATAATTATCACAAAATAAATTATAAAATCGATACCACTTGATTTATATAGAAAATCGTGCTATTAATCGGATTGCACGATTTATAACAAAAAGTTATATTTTAACTTTCATTATCTAATATGTATTAAAATAATTTTCACAATATTTCTTTAAATAGTAAGTCAACACATTTCATTACAAAGTCAAAATTACCATTTTAAATTATCCATCAACATCTTTCAATTTATATAGATATAATGCTTTGTTCGCTAATTATTTTCGCTATCCGCAAGTGTATGGTGTAGCTATAGGTAGTGGCGAGCAATATCGTATTTCACAGAGATTTTAGTTAAATTAATTAATAACTAAAATAATGTCGATTAAATATTATCTAGACTTATGACTTGGATGATGATTATAACTAAGAAATTAAACTAAAAATTAATTTACCTAATAAAATTAAATAAAAAAGATACAAAACATAAATTCAAAGTTATGCTTTCCTCAGAATTAATTCGTGAAACGTTTATATTCAAACAAACCTTATTTAATTTTATCAATCGTAGATATAATCGTTAAATTAATTTAACCTTTCTCCCAAACAAGTTAAACCGTAGATATTAATTATATATCACATTTCAGTCTCAAGATAAACAACTAACTCCCATAAGTTCCTAGGATTTTCGTTCTCTCGTAATGTGCTATCAACCTATCGGTCTGTTTATTCTCTTACGTTATAAATGTTCCAATTCTAACAATCAATTATCTTTTCTCAGTCTCAAATAAATCACAGATATGCATTCACAGTGACCGTCTACTCACACAATAATAATAAGCACAAGAAATTTATAAACGAAAGATAAACCAGAATGAAAGAAATAAAAATTAAATCATAAATCAATCCGAGTACTAACAATCCTAGAATCTAAAATAAATCTAGCCTATAAACATTCTTTCAAAATAAGAAAAATAAGTATAGAACATTGATTTCGAAAGAGAGAAAAGAAAAAGAAATAGAAAAAGCTTATTCAGCTCCGTCGATCTCTTCTTTCCGGCTTTCTCGCTCATCTTGCTCATATTTCTAGCCTCCAAAACTCTTCAAAGATTTGAGAATATGCCCCAGATCCTCCAAAAACGTGTCCAAGTGTCTCTTAAATAGTCGGGATCGAGTCCTAGTCGAAACAAGTCAAAGAAATTGTAAAAATAGGAAAAATGCGTAAGACACGTATTAAACTCGTGCTGACCCACACGAATCATGTCTTATGTCACATGAGTCATGAAAAATGCCGAGAGCTAATTTCATACCCATTTTGCGCGATACGAGTTATGTGAGTCACACGACCCGAGTGGGTTTGAAACTTCAATTTCGAGGTTGTTGTCGGATCCATGCGTGTTCTACTGATCCTTAGACATCTCCCAGTTGTCGTACGTGACGTCCAGGTGGTTAGAAGATGTCACGGTGGCTGGCCATGCGAGCTTCGATCAGATTCCGGAGGCTCTGTCACCCAAGCGGACAGCAGGCTGACAGCTTGAACATGTTGACCGTGTGTCTTCTCCTCGGTGATAGGATGGCAGTGGGGAACAGCGAGGTGGTTCGGACGATGCCCAGTTCATCGGGAATGGCAAACTCTGGCAGCTTCCAGGGCACGTGAACTTGCAGCTTCTCTTCAGTTGTTCAAGTCGGGCTCCGGCTTACCCACGTGTCAGTTCGATGTCGGTCGCGCTTTAGTGGCTAGCTGGGCAGCATATGGTCAGGGGCGGATCCATAAATTTTTTTGGAGGGGACTAGAATTATAATTTGGAATGAATTATTTGCGTATTCAACTCGAATTGACGGTGAAAACTTGAGCAACCAATTGAATTTGATTATTAAACCGAGCTCAAGCTCACATTTTTTTTTTTACGTTTATATAACGAGTCAGTCCAAAAACCAAACATATTTATTAAAAAAACACGAGCTTGATCACGAGGTAATCAACTGGACTCCAATAATACCTAGAAGGAATATAAAATATGTAATAATATCACATTTCATATACTTATAAGGCATAAAGTTGCATGTTAAATTTTGATACCATAAATTATAAAAACTATTTTACAATAGAAATAACTTTTGAAGTTTAGTATTTTAAATTTGTGTTCGACATTATTTCATACCAAGAGACTCATCCAA